CCCTGTATGTACCTTGTGGTTTCCATGCAGTGACCCCATCTAATGTACTCACCTTGCCCTGTGGAAGAAAAGCAGCACTTCCAGTAAGAGGCAGAGCTCAGTTTTGTGCTAATTTGACCTCAAAGGCTTTTCTCTATCAAGAAATGTGTCAGGTGAAAGAGATCTTAAAGGAAAAGGGTCTCAAACCTTCCCCATTTCCTTGACTTTCCCTTATGGCCACACCTCCTGCAGAAAGACCCAACCCTTTCCTCTTGCAGTATCTCTCTGTGTTAGGTGTTCACCTCCAGCCAGCAGGAGGGATTATGAGGGATGGTTTAATAGTGCTCTCTTTGGTACCTTCTGGACACAAAGAGACATCCTGTTGAATCTCATCTAGATTTGGATTTTCTACCCTTTAAGCATTAGCTTGTGGCATTGCTGTAGTTGGTTGTTTGGCTTTCCCTTGTATCCAGGGAAATTGGGTTCCAATAGTAACAAACTGGCTTCGGGAATGACCCAGGAGGGGCAGGATTGCTGCTGAATGCCTCGGAGCAGTGATTTGTTAGCTTATAGTGCTTATATTCATCCATTCTTATATCCATCCCTGGCAGTGTTCAAGGCCAGGTTGGACAAAGCCTTGGGTGCCATGGTTTAGTGTGAGGTGTCCCTGCCCATGGCAGGGGGTTGGAACTGGATGATCTTAAGGTCCTTTCCAACCCTAACTATTCTAGAATGCTATGATCCTATATTCCTTATATTGCTAGGAAAGTGGGGTTTTCACGCTGAATAAAGCAGATTTCACCTTCAGCTGGGCCACAGATGAAAATACTTTGCATTAGGCTGAAATATTCCTGCACCATTGGAAAAGAGCAGGATCGTGCCAACTGTTCCTGTTGGGTTGGCTCCCTTTGGCACCATAGATTGGAAATTCAGTGGTGATTGCCTGGTGGCAATCTTTGAGACATCAACTGTAGGAACCACTAGCAAACTGTATCCACACAGCAGCTTCCACCTGCACCAAAGGGAAGTGCATGTTGTAGCTGAGGACAGAACTAGATTGCTAATTCAACTCTATGAGCCCAGGCTCACTCTAGAGTGATGGGATATGTTGTATTTTAGCACATATTCAATGGATGAAGGGTCATAAATGGGTTTTTGAAGTGGCTTGCACGGAGCAGCATCCTTTGCTTGTAAAGCTGGAGTAACTGTGGGTTTGGCAGCTCTTGGGTCAATGTTCAAGCCAAGGAGCTTAAAAAGCCTTTTTGTCACTTGAAAGGGATAGCGAGGGTTCCAAGTGATGCCTGTTCTGAACCCCCCCAAAATATCTTCACAGGACCAGGAATCTCTCCCAAGAGGCAGGAGACCAGAATCCACACTGAAAGCCTTCCACCAGGCCTGGGATTCCACACTGTGGAACAGAGCTTGCTTCCCAGGGTCTAGGTTGGTTTGGTAGGAGACCGAGGTCTGACAATCCAGGCCCCTTCAGGAGTGTTCCCAGTTCCATTCCCAAAGGATTTAATGAAACTGCAGCTGTTTGGCCTCTAGTAGCCAAACAGGAAGGAGACAAGGACTGAAAGACATTGTGCCAGTTAAAACTGATGTGTCAGTACCAAAGGGACCCTAGCAGAGAACGCCCTGTTATAGCAGCTACTTAACTGGTTATTAAGTGAGATTTCATATGATATAGTTCTAATACAACTGTGCAAACATCTAATTCTAATGCACCTGCCTTACTTAAAAAACACCTGTGTGGATATATATATACTTCATACATTTATATATATATTTCCTATATATATATATGTATTTCCACTTGCAAAGAGCCACAACAGCCAGGAAAGGAAGGGGGGAAAATGCCATAAACCCTTTTGAAATCGAACTTAAAGCCACACAATAAGGAAGGTTTGGCTCTTTCTGTTTCACCGTTCTATCAATACAGCAGCAAATTAAAAAGCTCATAAATCCCACCCTTGCAAGACACAAGAGCAGGCAAAAAGGGGTAAATTAGCCAGAATCTTAGCTTATTCTCTATGCTGTTGTAGTCAGCTGGCTGGTATTCCCTAAGTCTGAATATGTTTGCTGTAATTATAACTGAGCATCCTGGGATTTGTGTAAGCTGTGGTCACTCCAGCAACTCATTATTACCCATATTAAATGGGAACAGATCCGGTTGCTCTGCATCAGAACAGTTAAACACAGTCTGGGGGTTTATTGTTTGGAAAGCCTCTGTTCTACCTCCTTTTGTTTCAGCTGCAGCTATCACATCTAACATGCAGGGTGCTTTAGACAAAGAGCTATTGTTTAATGCTCCTTCTTGTTGACTGACTTCATTCCATGTTATTGATGTCGGAGAGACGCTTGCTGTTGGAACAGTCAAGTGGAGCATGGCTGTTTGCTGGCTGCTTCAGTGGGATTGAGGAGGTTCAGCTCTTAGAGAAGCAAACCCCACGTTTGCCAACAGCAGCTCACCTCCAGGATCTCTTTTTGCAGTGGTTTACTTGGCTCTTTGCAGCTGGAGCGGGCAACTCAAGCATGGATTTGCATCCAAATGCCACTGTATGCATTACAAGACTTAGGAAGGTGTCCGGGGTAGTCCCATGGAAGGGATAGATAACAGAACTTCCTCCCTTCAGAATGGGATTCTCTTAAGTGACTCTTGAGGAGGTGTGTAATGTAGTAGTGTAGTGATGTGTAGTACAGTAACCCACGTGAACTACCTGGTTATGTACCTAACAATGGAACAGATGCAGGTATCTTAACCTGGGATGGGATTCTGTTTGCAACAATTATTTACTTCTCATTTCACCACAGTTTGTTCTAGCTCTTTTTCACCTTGTTTGTCACCATCTTCACATTGAGTGCAGACCTGCTGGTCAAATGTGCTGATGAGCAGTTGGTTATGCCTTCTCCTTAGTGCAGTTCTGAAGCCATCAGTGCAAGCAGGAAGGGTGTCTTCAGCCTTGTTGCTTTAGCAAATTAAACCAGAATTGAGTTCCTTTTCCTCAGGAATTCAGCCCTTTCTGACCTGGAGTTATCTGGAACCAAACAAAAACTGCTCCTCTTCTCCTCCTTTTCACTGCACCCGTTGCATCCCTCAGTGTTTGCTGAGTTGGAGGCACTTTCTTCTTGTACCCTATCACTGATTAAACTGGGTTTGCTTCAGGAACTGGGCAGGTGAAGGAGGAGATGGGTGGAGGGAGTGAATGACAAACACCATCCTGGAGCCACGGGGCTGGGGAAGGTTTAGCTCTCAGCAGTGTCTGGGAAACAGATTCCCAATGGGATTCAGAATGCACTGGAAGGAATGTTTGTCAGGTCTTGTCTTTCCCAAGGGTATGAAATGCCAATGCAGAGTTTCCTTGTGGTGAGTGAATTGTAGTAATCCACGCAGTTGTTTAGAGGACCAGGTGTATTTGTTAATGTATATGAGTCAATATAAAACACATGCAAAACTCTTGTGACCATTGAGAGGCTTCAAACGCTCTTAGCATTGGAATATTCATGGTTTCTTTGTAATAACCATGCTCAGCAAGATCTTTGGCCTCCCCAAATAGAAATCTGATTGAAAGATGACTAAATGGATCAGCAAATATGAATTGCCTAATAAAGTATAGATAAAGCTTAAATGGTTGGAGGTACTGGAAGAAAGGTAAGAGCTATCTCCCCGAGTCCACAAACCTATGGTGCTTCCTGGATTTTGCACTTCCCCACACTTTAACCTGCAGCAGCAGCTAGGGCAGAAGGTTGGCTGTAATTGCCCATGCCTCAAATAGCATTTACCAGTTCACAACTGTGATTCACTAGGTAGCAATATGAATAACAGCACTCCTGGGTAAGTGACAGCTCTGAAGGTTTACAGGGAGGGGGAGGCTGGTGGGAAGAGGCAGGAATACGTGACCTGCACAAGTATTTTGGGGATAACTCTAGAGAACATCCTTGTTTTCACCTCTCCTAAATGAAGAGCATTTGGCAATCACTGCAGTCACAAACTACAGGTGGGATTCTCCCCCTACCCCTTCTTTCCTTTCCTACTCCACACAGTCAGGCTTTCTAGCATGTGGTATCTCTGCTGTTTGTAGCCCATGACCCTGAGATGCCATTACCATCTTACTGGGCAGCATTGGATGTTTTCAGTGTTTCTAATACTGCCTGGTAATGATGATGATGGTGTTTCGTGTACAACGTGGAAAAGCTCAACAGCGAGTTTGGAAGCAGGTCCAGAGAGAAACCAGGCAAACCTCTCCCCAAGCATAAGTAAATCGAATGTGAAATGCTTTGGGTTCTAGAATAAAGGGTAAAAGCCAACCAGAAGGAAATGCTGGCCTCATTCTAATGTTAGAGTGAGCCTGTAAATAGACAACTGCAGAATGTGGCACACGTTTGACACTGCAGTGCTAGGATGTGTTCGGATGAGAAGGCTTTGTAGGGGTGAGCTGAATGCAGGCACCCTGCTCCAAACACGTTCTTTTTCTTTCCTTTCAAACCATGGTAGCTCTGCAGAGAGTGAGAGCAAACAGGTATTGAAATGTCACACTCGAGTTTCCTTCGTCGTCATTGCCTCTCCAACACAGGATGTTCTTGTCAGCTAACTGGAACTCAGGAATCAAACGTGGGGTTTGCTCTTTCAGCTCTGCTGCTGTAACTCACTCTGTCCCTTTCACAGCAGCTCCTCTGGAGCTCTCCAGTGCAATGTTCTCACAGCAAAGCCCTTCAGTTTAGATCCTTGAACTGTCATGTAATGCATACACCTTTATTGTTACACAGATACACTTTTTTACATCCATTTGTCACTTCTTGAGTGAGACTTAACTCCCATTCCCTTGGACTGTGTTCATTACTTTAGTGGCCTAATGATGCATTTTAAGCTATGATGGGCTTTGTTCTTATTCTATGAGATTTCTTGCCCTACATCAATGATACTGCTTAAAGTGACCTTGAAAGAACTAGCCCAGTCTAAAGGGACTTAGTGGAGGGGAGAAGGCTGGTTTATATGGCTTAGGGAGGGTTTTTGTTCTTTACAGTGAATTATAACAACACAGGAAGTTGTACTTCCCTGTTATCGGATGTGAAAGGCCCTGTAAAGAATGATTTATAACAGCTCTCACTGAGAGAGGGGATTATTGCTGGTTTTATCTGACACACGGCTTTAGGGGCAGGTGGTTCAGTGTACCTGGCAGCTGTGAAGCAGCAGAAGGCACCAGCAGCATCCTCCCGTCATCCCCCCTTGCCCTGAGCTCCCTTACTGATCTATGGGGTGCTGGGGTTTTAATTACTTGCACTGAGAAGGTCGGTTGTTTCCTTGAACCCTCTTCTTGAAGCATCAGCTGAATGATTCACTGGGGTGGAGCGTGGATGAAATGTACTCCTTTGTCATTTACTTTGATAGAGAGGCTGTATATCTGCTGTGCTGGAGCCACAAAGCCTTGTGAGTACCTTATGGCTATACTAAATATTACATGCAGTATAGCATTACCTACACGGTATAGCTCAGATCAGAGCTCTCTCAAGCTGTCACCAATTGAGAGGCCATTGCTACCCTGAGAGGTAACACACTAAGGGGTGAAGAAAGGAAGACCAAGGAAATGCTGCTGCCTTTTCCTGGGTGATGCAGCAGGTCAGGAACCCCCATCCCTTGGAGTTAACAACAGCCTCACTTAGAACAGCACAGAGCTCTTACCAAGGGTAAGCAGGATGAGCAGCCTGCACTACGATTTCTACCTTCTGTTGCATGAGGTGCTCCAGCAAACTTCCCCTTCTTCTGAAAAGCACAAACCAAAGCAGACAGATACCTTATCATCGTTATCATTAGCATTCAATATGCTTAATTACATTACTAATAACTACACCAACGTCGCCTGCCACTGTCACTTCTATTTAAGACTCAAATTTGTCTGCATCCCTGCAACTGAAGCCAATACAATAAAGGATTTGTTGCAAAAGCAGCTGTGTTTAATGCTAGGCCACCTCTGTCCCTTTTCTGTGCCCTCCTCAGCACTGTTTTCCTTATTGACCAGCTTCAGTATGTCTTTTCAAGTGATTAATAAGACCTGAATTAGTATGGTTGTGAGTCAAAAGGGAGGAGGGAGTGAGGAAGCCAAGAAACAAACCCCAAGCAATCTTTCTGGTGCTAAATCCTGTTGAAAGAGAACTTAACCTTTTGTTTCCATTTTAGATCTTTATTAAACCAACTTTTTCTACTATCTTTGTAGAAATGCACCATGATTTTGAACCTGTCCTTTAATATCGAATGTCTTCCTTCTGCCCACCACCTATTTCCCCACCCCAGGGTATAAGGCAATCCTCCTCAAGCCATTTCTATTAGTTATTATGGAACACTGACAGCCTGAAGAATACAGACTCATTAATAGCTGCTTCATTTCTCCAGCTGCTGGACAGACTGTGGTCCTCTGTGGGCATCTTACTAGACAGTGCTGGATTTTCTGGATCTACTCTAACACTGTCTGGTAACGATGTTTAAAGGGTGAACCAACCACCACCATGCATCAGGAGGAGCTCTCACTCAAAGACATTGTACCACAATGTAGGCCAAAGTGGAACACTTGGACAAGAGGGTAAGGATGATGGCTATCACGTTAACAGGTATTTTTAGATGTAGCCAATGGATATAATCATAAATACATTGCTGGAAACCAGTCTGGTGGATGCTGAGCCTTGATGTTGCTGGGAAGGAGGTGAGACAGGCCATGTCTATCATACAAAGGGTGTATCTTCTCAGAGGCATAGGCACAGGCACGCTTTCTTCTCCCATTGCAGTGGTGAGGGCTGTGGCACAGCCCTTGCCCAGGAGGCTGAAGGATTTACTTGCCATGCCTGGCTGTGAAAGGTGGTTAGAGCAAGATGCTGGTTGTAAAAGGTCACTCTTCCCAATTACACTTCAATTACACCTCCATGGTTGAACGGCCTATGAACTTCCAAGCGTATAACCCACCCCATCACAGGCAGTGGAACAGGTGGGTTAATCACTCCCATCATTCCATTAAGAAACAAAGGAATTTAACCCAGGCAAGGAACAACTGAGTGCTGACCCTGCTCTACCTACCAGAGACCAAGAGCTGCTGCTGCTGCCTCACTCCGTGTAGCAACTCAGGTAGAAGTACACCACTGCACTGAGCGTGAGAATGGATGAGGTCTGGATGAGAAGCTGGGCCTCCTTAAGGAATAAGTACACTCAGATGACCTAGAGGTCAGATTTAAACAAGTTTCCTGGCATGACGTAGGAACAAGTGCTTGAGGAGACCTTTCCCTGCTGTAGGAGTATTATCTTAGTGACTAGGACACTGCGTTTGAGCCAGAAAGTCCAGCTCCATCTGCTTCAGTAAGAAAGCATTGCAGTGTTAACATTGCTGTATTGAAGATCTGTTCTGCAAGCAGATCCTGGGATCGTTCAATAGCTAAAACTAAGCAGGTATTTGCAGGGCAAATCTGGGGACTAAATTAGGTGTGAGTCTTGCCCTCCTCTAGTGACATTTTCATGCCTCCTGCCTGAACTACACAGACATGTTCAGTGGTAGCTTCTGCTTACCCTGCAGGTCCTCCCTAGTCCTTGGCAGATTAATCCAGGTCAGTACTTCTTTACTTTGCAGACAACCTGCAGAGGATGTGAATTTGAGTCAGAAGTCATTAGCAGTTCACTTTATAAGCTGAGATTCAGCCTTACACAAGGAGCATCCATACCACCTGCACTTCTGAAAGGCTCCTGGGACGGGGCACAGCCCTTGTACTGATGCTTCAGTGTTGTCCCCATTGGTTTTCAGCTCCTTCCTCTGAGAGATAAAAGGCAATGTTACACATGCACTGAACACAAACTCCTCTTTAAATATATTCCAAGTATTGATTTGTGTCTTCCTCAACTGAGTGTTAATCCCCTTCCTCACTCCAAAACAGAACTGGGATAGAAATACAGCGGTACCCAAGCAAATCCTGCATTCTCTGCCTTTGCCACTGGAAATCTCCATGTTTTTCCAATTCCTTGCAGCAAGCTGGGTGTTTCCTTCCCAAAACTACCAGGGAATACAGGAAGGGTGGAAAAACGAACTGATTTGTGTATAACTTCACCCTGTTGCCACTACAATGTGAACAGCTTGAAAGGCGCTGACTGTGCCTGCTTTAACTCCATGGGCTGACTCACTGCAGCAAGCTCAGTTTTGTGCTTGCCCTTGCAGGTTGCAATTCCCAGGGCGAGGGAAGGAAGCAGCAGAGGAGGCTCTCTGGTGATTAGCCTCTGTGTTAATGAGTAACTGCCTCACAGGGGATGGAGGAAATGGTGTGAAATTTGAGTGACTCTGCAAATTGGCTTTTAACAAGCATCGCAGTAAGATGGATTGGAGCGCACACCTACCTCCCGGCTCTGCTTAGCACAAAGTGTGGGTCCTAACCTCGGATGGAGCTGAGTAAATAAATGTATAACTAACAAACAGCTCTAATGGGGCATCCAGGGCAGGGACAGGAATGTGGCCTTAAAAACAAAGAAACAGAGACCAGGGAAATCCCTCTGCCCGCCCCCATGGTGATGTATGCTTAGGAAAGTGTCCCTTCAATCCTGCCTCAGACAGAGACAGTCATGAGAGCCAGGGGCAACCCAGAAAAATCCCCTTCTGCCTCTATATCTTTCCCTCCCCTTCTCCTGCTGATTTTCATCTCCCTCCAATTGGTTTCACAAGAGAGCAATTCCACAGGCAGGATTCTTGGGATGGTTTCATTGCTGCCTGAGGCCTGGGCTGCATCAGATTCATTCTAAAGCAGTTGGCTCAGCTCACTGAGGGGAGTTTGACCATGGGTGAGGGAGGGCACGTTGTTCAGCTGACACCCATGTGCATCCACTGTCCTGCTGTGCTGCTGCTGATGGAGCTGTGAGCAATTTCACAGCCAGATGGATGCAGGGGCCAGAGCTGTTGGTAAGTTCTCTACAATTCTTTTCAACCCCTATAGCAGTGAGCTGGAACTGGTTGTGTTTTATAATGGCACTGCTTCATAAGCGAGCAAGTTAAATATTTACTGGTTATTGCTTTGTCTAAGGGAAAGGCCCTCAGCCTTTCCCTGCCCTAGCTTTTTAGTCCTGGATTTAATGGTGGAGTTTTCCTTTAGCCTGAGTGAGTGCCTGCTGATTGCTGTCTTACCAGGCAAAGTTAGATCTAGCTATCTGTGTCTAATACTGTCTGGTAATGCCGTCAATCGCATCGGCAAAAAGCTTCGTCTTGACCCAGAGATGGAGAGGAAAGCTTGCCTTGGTCAGAAGAATGGAGGAAGCCTGATGTCTGGGCCTTCCCACCGGAGTTTGGGCTTATGCTGAAGGCTTATTCAACTGCAACGTCTTGTTCACACCCAAGCATGGACTGTAATGCCTGCAGAGGTATAAAGAGACATGAAGAAAGTCAAGAGAGTATCAGCTTGTAGGTAGGTTGAGATATGTTTTCTGAGCTCCTTTGGATCTATTGTCAGACTGGCCTGAAATGTGATGGGTGCAGGCACAACCACCTCAGTTCTCAGTTTAAATAGCTGCTTCTGTTTGGAAATGATGTATTAAATGAGCAAAACTCAGCAATAGCTCACTGCACCCTGTAAGTAAAGTCTGCTTTATTCTTACACTGACAGAAAAGTACTTTTAAAGGTACCTTATAAAACACAAGGGTTTGCAAAGCCCTCACTTCAGCAAATCTTCCATGTGAGATGTGATTAGTCAAACCACACAATATAAAGGTGCTCTGATTCCCCACACGTGGCTATCAGCTTTTATCCTTCCCCTATGGAGAAGCAGCAGCCTACGCCAACCGATTCCTTAGTACAGCACCCCTAGTTGCGCAGTGTAAGAGCAATGAGAGGGAGCAGCACCACAGAATGTATTCCTGACCTCAATTGCTGAGCACCCTCAAGGCATGAGAATGGAGACAGCAAAGTGCTTTCCATGGAGTCTCACTGAACTGCCAGGAACTTCCCAGTGAGGAAACAGCCCTGCTCAGATGATGAGGATGCTGTGAATGCCCTGGTTAAAGTGACTCACGCTGGCACGTCTCACTCTGCAGGGTACAAATGCCATTCCTTTGCATAGTACAATCACCTTATGGAAACCTGTTACCTCTTTTGGTACACGGCAGGGTCTCACCAAGGTATTAGTGCACTGCGATTTATACTTTTACCTGTGCTATCCCTGAACTTCAGCTGTTGGATTCCTCAGCTTCCTTTCCTCCATAAGCCTTTCTTTGTCCAGCACTTACCCTCTGGATGTCACAGAAGGTCCAGTCTTACTGGAAGCCTCCCTGTTTCTATTCCTGTCTTCTTAAAGATGCTCAGGATAACGTTCAAGGGTGGGTTTGAGTTATGGTGTTTCCTGAAATGAAACAAATTTGACCTTTCAGCAGCACTCCCATTCCCTAATTACCCTGAAATGAAGGGAAAACAAGAACTCCACCTCTCCCACAACATGTTCTTGAGTCCATTGGTAATAAACCAAACCCCATGAGGTGCCCTGCACAGTCGGTTCTGAAGGGCAGGTATGCACAAAACACCCTCAGAGAAGGCACAGGGATGAAGATGGGACTGCAGTCCCTAAGTGCTGTGCTCACAGATCCTGGTATCAGGAGCTTGCTCTAATTGTTGTGATTAATATTCTACTGTCACTGCCTTTATCACTAGAACCCACCCATGGATAAACACATCTATAAAAACTGGTTTCTTTGGCTATTGTAGAGATACGTTTTAATATCTTACCTGCTATTTAACGTGCTGTTTCACTGCCTTAGAGCTTCTGTCATTCATTTCAGGCAATTTAGTTGTATTTCCAATAAACTATGGCTCTTAACCCAGCTCTGAGTTGAATTTCTTTCGAAGCAATACAGATTTCTGTGTGTTTAAACCAGGAAAACTCCTTCCCCAATGCTTGAATTCAGTTGAGTAATTCCTGCCCAAGAGCAGTAACTGCTTCTCAGTAGAGCTCTGTATGAGATACAAGCTGAGTGTTCTCAACTGCTCTGGGTGTAATCTGGCACTGATACAGTTGTGTGCCTCTAATTTATGACCAGCTGTAAGGGGTCACACCTCTGTGAAGCTGGATGGGGGTTCAAGGCAATGCAGATGAAACACTGCCTTCTCCTCACCCCACTCATCAAGTCCTAGCCAGCCACATGAGACTGAAGCCCCCCAGCAATGTTTCAGCAAGTTATACACTGAAATAGCCTTGGCTTCCAAACAAAGGGGAGAATTTCTCAATGAGAAACCCCTTTATCCAGATCAAATGGTGCTGACACAAGCCAGGAGCTAATAATGTGTCTCACAGAATACAAGCATTAAACTGTCCCTGTATGTATGTATTTGTGAAGACTACAGATCATAAGAGGGCATGTGTGTATATATAGATAGAATCACAGAACAGTTCGGGTTGGAAAGGACCTTAAGCTCATCCAGTTCCAACCCCCTGCCATGGGCAGGGACACCTCACACTAAACCATGACACCCAAGGCTCTGTCCAACCTGTCCTTGAACACTGCTAGGGATGGAGCATTCACAACCTCCCTGGGCAACCCATTCCAGTGCCTCACCACCCTCACAGGAAAGAATTTCCTCCTTATATCCAATCTAAACTTCCCCTGTTTCAGTTTGAACCCATTACCCCTTGTCCTGTCACTGCAGTCCCTAATGAAGAGTCCCTCTCCAGCATCCCTATAGGCCCCCTTCGGATACTGGAAGGCTGCTCTGAGGTCTCCACGCAGCTTCTCTTCTCCAGGCTGAACAGCCCCAACTCTCTCAGCCTATTGATATATATAACTAAATATATTTATAGATATTTAATGTTGCTTGTCCTCCTGATCTGTAGTCTGGACTAAGCCAAGGAGACTTTTGACTTCAACACCCTCTTATGATCCTTGAACTAAGAAGTTAGACCCACCTGCACAAAGGGGGAGAGCTCCTAAGCCAAACCCCCCCTCTGAAGGAAGCAGTGGGAAAGCAAGAACACCTAACTCCATCAACCCCACTGTTCCTCTGATTGACAAGGGGACACCGTGGGCAGGTTATCTGAGCTGAGCAGCAAACAGAAAGCTGTACTGCTCTTGGAACCGCCTGGGCTGAGCCAAGGTGCAGACTGAAGCAATCTGTTTCCTCCCAGCACAATTACGTCTTGCTTTGTTGATAAAGGGCTTATCACAAGGGCAAGGCAAGTAGGAACCTTCCAGCTACTTGTAGTATCTTCAGCAACACTCAAAAGGCTTCAGAAACTCCCAATAGAGTCCCTAATACCAGATGGCTTCTAGGCACAAGCACAACTTTTAAATCCCAGCTTTCAGTCTCAGTTCCTGGTTGATTCTGGGGGCTTTTTTGTAAGCAGATTATTATATTGAGGACAAAAAAAAGTGGGCAAATTTCCATTTTATTTACCTTAAAATGCTTTGGTACTGAGAATTCTGAAAAGTAGGGACACAAACTGGATTTAAGGCATTTTTTTTCAGCCTTATTTGCTCCTCCAAACCCCTAAAATCCTTATTTCAACATGTTTAAGGTGAGCATAGGTTCTACTGAAGTTAAATACCCTCTTAGCAGCCTACAGCTTTTGCTATGGCATACACAAACAGTTCTGAGGACTCTGGTGCATTAACACTTTACATACCAGTAGGTAAAACACTAAGTACTTTCTAAACCATCAGGCCACAGCCCATTGTGCCTTTACACAACCCAGCATCAGAGCAGGGACAGCATTGTACCAACCACAGCCCCTCCTTCGCTTGCCTCCCACGTTAAGTATTATTGATGCTTCCTACTGCTGCATATGAGCAGGAGGAAGGGTTCAGAACTGGCTTTGTTTGCTATCACAATGCTCTAGAGCAATGCCAGTTGCAGAAGCAAATAACCAGGAGGCTTTGTTGTAGACTCCAAGTATTCAGACTTCTTCTTTGGCTTTACCCTTACTAACATTAACATTTAACATAACAGCATAGCAATGTATGGGTTGAGCACATCCTTTCCTGTTTCTAACAGGGAGCTGAGCAAAGACAAAGCATTTAGTTTTCCCAGGATTTTAATAGGAATCAAAACATTTAGGGGGAAAAACCCCAACCTGAACCCTCATAAATACTTTATTAGGCATCAGGAAGCAGTAGGAACTCCAGTGTGTTAAAGGCACTTCATATCCCCTTTAAGTAAGATGAAAACACAATCAATAGCAAGGATTGTTCTCAGCATGGTATGGATGTTCTTTACATCTTCAGCGTATCATCAGCCTTATATGTAGCATAGAGGCTATTTATACACTTGAGTGGTAGGGAAGAGAAATGCAATACCCAGCCCCCTTAAGAAGCTCTTTTCTTATTCCTTTGTCAGTTTATTTTAAGCAAGGAAAGGTGGAGTCAGCTCCCAAAGCAGTAAATTTAACAAGCACCTCCTGGCCCAGCTGTTAAACCTAAACTGACTCAGGAACAAAGTTCAAGACTACAGAAACCATGCACACGTAATTCGATTGTCTTACTCAACAGAAGCAGACTGAAGTATTAAAGAAGCTGCTCAATGAACAACGCATCCTCTATCAACCTATCCCCCTTTTTCAAGGATATAGCAGGTTCCTTCCCAGTTGTTGTGAACTTGCTTTAAAAGCACATGGGATTCAAACTACTTCCAGGTTCAGGTGAGGGGATCAGTGTTCACGATGCTGCTCTGGGAGGGCACAGAGCAAGCACAGGGCTCAGGAAGATAGATATATAGATATGTGTGTGTATATATACATCTCAAGCATGATTATATATATATATGTATCATATATATAGGATATATGAAGCACAATGACTCCTTGGGCAGGTTCTTCCCAACCACTGTTACCTTCTGCCACTGTTAACTCACTTCCAAACAGTGTCACAGCCACAGGACTTAAGGAGGGATTGGGATAACCAAGATGATCTGATATTTGACTAAGATTCCATTTAAGTGTTGGTGTCCAAATGCAAATCAGTGAGTAGGCTGCATTAAGCCCTTCCCTCAGTCCCTGCAGCTGGGAGCCAAAGCCAGGGAGAGGCTAAGCAAACAGGGAGGAGGAACAGCCTCATCTGGATTGCTAATTCTATTTGCATACCAAACACCACTTTAAACAAAGCCATTTGGATTTCTGTGGGCAAACCTACCTCATTATTCCCTATCTGCTACTTGATGGCTGTGAGCCTTTCAGTGAATGCATGCAGAGAGAAAAAGCCTTGAGTGCCACTGAATAAAGGGAAACCCAAAACCTAACTAGGATGGGTCAGTAACATGCAGCTCTTTCATTGCTTACTTGCCTTTGTTCTCTATTTCCCTTAGAACTTGTCCTAAAATCAGGGCTTTTTTAGAGCTGTTGGGAACGAAGGAACTACCTATAAATATACCTTAAAACATAACAAGCAGGAAGAGTCAGAGGTAACAGTGTTTGTGTGCTGAACAAACTGAATTAGACACAGCCTGCATTGAAGGCCTTTTTTTCTTTGTTTTTAACTGGATTTCTTCCATATCTGCAACTCAGAAGTTTTAGGCATGACTAGAGTGAACTGAGAGGTCTCCCATTCCCTGCTCTATCCCATTTTCCCACCCTTTGTCTGGATATAAGGGTACGAGGGGAGCTTTGTATCGTTTTGTTTGCAACATCACACTATTTCAGCTACTAAATAAATGGTAAGAGGTTCACACACCCCCCCTCCTCTTGTGTCCCCCTTACTGCCTCCTTATGCATCCCAATGGCAGCATCCGTGAGCCCACCCTCTGGAACAGAGCAGGAAAAGAAAGCAGACTGGGGAAAACACCTGCTGCTCCCTAACACACACCTTTCCTCCAGGAAGAGATGGAGCCATCACACGGTGTTGAAGGAAGAGGATGGGCACAGGAAGGGAGCAATGTGCATCCCTTATTCCTGTTTTTAATGAGAATATCCCAAGCTTTTCCCTGTTTATACCTCCAGTGGCTCTCTCTGATACAGCTACTAAATTCAGCTAGTTCTATTCGTAGATACTATGGTCAAACCACTGCTGATCCCAGAAAAACTTACTTGTCTTGGTGAGTAAATGCTGTAGGTTCAATCCGAGAGATCAACTGGGGTTCTGACTGTATGTGTGTGAACAGTGTTACCTGCTTGTACTGTGAGGTACACTTCTCTGCAGAAACACTGCACATGAGATCCTGTTCCTGTGGAGGTGAAACAGAGTCAACCACTCCTTCAGTACTGTAAGAGGCAATAAGCAAGGCCATTTGAGGCCAGACCCAACCAGCCCTTCAGGCTGTTCTCATAAGCGTGATAAATCAAAGCCAAGTTCATCAGTCATTGAGCTATGCTGCTGTTCACAGCAGACTGTACCTCTTCAGTAAGGGACAGGTATTTGGTACAGGCAGCTGATGGAAACAGAAGATCATAGAATCCCAGACTGTTTGGGTTGAAGGGACCTTAAAGCTCATCCAGTTCCAACCCCTGCCACGGCCGGAACACCTTCCACTGGAGCAGCTTGCTCCAAGCCCCTGTGTCCAACCTGGCCTTGAACACTGCCAGAAAGATACCTCCGTCAGCACAAAGCCACCAGGACACTGAATGTATCTCAATCTGCATACAGCTCACTAATGTAAAGCTGTTTCCTAAGTGAGCAGCCCACCTCTACTCCAAAATCACAATGACCTTCTAGTGGTATTTAGTGCTGGGATGAAGCAAGACTCTCCTCAGCCTGGCCTAAAGCATCCATTTGTGTCGCAAGGTGTCAGATGCTAACTGAGTGTCTCAAAAGAGAAGCCAAGCTCTGGAGCGCTACAAGGGACAGTTCCCTCATGAGAAGCTCCAGGGAAGCAGTGTGAACAGTTTGCACATGGCTGGCTATGCCACATAAACAGTTAAGCTCTCCACAAGGATAAAGTAAAAGCAGCGAGCACCACGGCTCTGTGGGACGGGCTTTGCAGCTTATGCAAAACCTGACTGACAACACACATGAAAACCTGGCCCCATCTGACACTGTGAAGCAACTGCTTTTCTGAGCTGCAACGCACTGCCAGTAACTCCCAGCAACAGATGGGGCCCTGTCAGGGACTGAGGAGCTCACAAAGCACAGAAAGAAAGAGCTGGAAGGACACATAGCCCATCACAATCCCATCGCTGTAAAACTCACCGAAACCGTTGGCATAGTTTGCCCTTGGGCTATTGGACCAGTAGCTTCCATCTGAAATTCATTTCCAAGAGCATCTGGGCATCCCTCTCACCTTCCCAAGGAGGGCAGGAGGATGGAGCCTCCTGCCTTCTCTGGCATCGCTTCACAGTGCGGGAGGCATCCAAGAGACAGGCCCGGACTTGAGCAGTGGTGGATTCTGAAAGGAACCAAAGGCACTTTGAAAAGAGGGCACATGCCTGGTTAGCCCGACTGGTACAGCAATGAGCAGTGTGTTCAGCCTCAGGAGAAGCCCTGCCAAGGAATGGGTTGTGCTTAGAAAGCTTTTGAGAGGCTCCCAGCGTGGTACATGAAATGAAACGCCTGAAGAACATTCCACAGTGAATAAAAGAAGACTGAAAAGCATCTAGGGAGGCAAAAGTACACAGCTGAGCACAAAGAGGGCTGGCTCTGGGTCTGTAGTAGCTCTCAGCCCTGATAGATGGGCTCTCTACTGGTATCACTGACAGCACCCCTGTGTTTTAGGGAAGGTCACTGTGGTTATTCCATCTTGACCATAATATACATCAAGTGACCAAAAGCAAATGTGGGGGAGACTGCATAGTGGGGTGACTGTTGCAACAACAGGCAGGAGCAACACCTTGGCAGCAGTTTATCTTTAAAACCAAACAACCACTTTTGCATTCACAACTACTACTCCTGTTCATCTCCTATGAATTCTGGAAGCCAGCTATGCAGGTAGGAAACTGAAGCCAGTCAATTCACGTGTGATTTGGTGCCCTGTGAGCAAAATCAGAACTTGGCCCTTGTCACTCACACTGCTGTTTCTATGTTTTAAATATGTATTTATCATAGACTATCATTTGGAAGGGACATCAACATTCCTAGGCAAAGCAAGACCTAGTCTCAGTAAAGTTCTTGCTCTGGATCCAGTTTTAAAGGCATCACACACACACACACATATACATATATATATATCTGTGTCTGTGTGCGTGGCAGTGAGCTGCTGAAGTTATTCATTAGATGTTTCACTGATGCAAGGATGAGCTACAGAACCCTAGAATCTTCCAGATGCCCCAGAAAATGCATGTCCTTGTCTAAGGGAGTTACACACTTGTCTCTTAGCTGCCAGAACAGCCTTAGCATCCATCTCCCTGTGCCCCTGTGATGACAAGCAGTCTTGGTTTCTATTCTTGGGCTTATTTGCAGCTCACGAGCATTGGCCCAGACCTCTGCCAGTAATTCACTATTGCTGCCCTATGAATTCATGTACCTGTAGCAGTGAATTTCATCCCCTATGATTCCACTGCAGCTTCTTAGTTCTGTAACTGCTCCCTCTGGTTTCTGTGAGTTACTGCCTTGTGCTGTTTTCTGGTTTCCCCCCTGGCCCAACCTAACATGGACAAAGCAAACAAATGGTCAAAGGCTGATCTTCATTTCTTGGTCTCCATCATGTGGCACAAGCTGTGCTAAACGAAAGCTCAGAACTGTTTCATAGCGATGTCAGTAAGACCCTGGGCTTCCAGACACTGATTCTGTTGAGGGTGTAACTGTGTTTGAATGCTGGGAATGCTGCAAGCTAGGGCAGTTAGAATTGCTCTGTTGCAAACACTGGGATGCTGTGTTAGTTTGCAATGGGCTCAGCCTTTAGTGCAGAGCAGAAAGCAGATGTGTTAAGAGTTCTGTGGGCCCAAAAGCAAAGAACCATTCCTCCTGCCTGCGACATTCCAGCCTTTGTTAGTGTGAAACAAATATTAACAGGTCCTGCACACAGCTCAGTCACCCCTTTCCCACAGCCACCTAACAGAGGTTCTGCATCATTAAGAGCTGCAAACACTCTGCACTCAGCAAAGCACACACTCCTCTTATTGTAAAGGGTCCTCTGCTTTGCTCTTCACAAAGCCATCATCTGCTGCATGAGACAACTTGGAGAGAAGGGGGTTTCAGTGCTCTTGAGAAAGCTCAGCACTTCCTGGGCCCCTTGCAGCAAGGCACCTGCAGCAGCAGAGCCGTCTGAGGCATGGCCAACTGAGGATTAAATCACCTGAAAGATATGCAAAGGGCTCCTCATGGTGCACACAGAAACAAAGAACCTGGCAAGGCTCTGGTCAAACCTGGGAACCAGGACTGGACACAGGATCCACCCTGGATGCTGTGTCAAGAGCAGGGCATTTCCCTACCTAAATGGGAAAAGCAGGGGAGCAGGAGGGAAAGGAAGGAGTTCAAACACCAGGAAAGCAGCTTTAGAAACAGCACAATAAAACAAAGGGAAAGGCAGGGAGGGGGTAGGACACTTTAACAACAGCTCTTTCACATATTCTCCCTTTTCCTCAGCACAGTAAGGTCCTGGCTGCAGGTCCTGACCCACCAGAAAGAAGCAGAGCATGGCACAGCACACAGTTCAGCTCTGCCCCAGCTTCACCAGCCCTCTGGGTTCACCTCTGCCTCCTCAGCAGTAACCTTTTCCCCCTACCTCCAACGCAGTGAAGCCATCCCTCCTCCAGCTTAGTGTCTTGCAGCCTCCAGTGCTCTCTGCTGAAGCTCTGCTCAATGGCAGGGATGAGACACAAGGGTGGACTGGCCTCAGGTCTGATCTCCATGGCAAGCTCCTGTGTTCCTGCTGGTGGAAGATAGATTGCTAATGAGGAGGTGAACAGAATCCACCTGCAAGTGCGGAGGTGTAAATTGGGATTTAGCTGATCTCAGCTGCTCTGCTGTCCTGTTGTGCTACCAGAAACACCTGGGGGAAGGGGATGGGTTGGTCTCTTTGTAATACATAGAGTTTCTGTGACAGATTACATGCAGTGGGCTCATGTGCTGAACCTCCCACGGGTGTTGGGGGTTTTTAGTGGCCTTGGTACAAAACTATGACAGCAACCAGCCAAACCCCTTGGATTTCAGGTTTGAATCCAGTGGGTTCTCCTAACTGCACAGCTTTGTGTCAGAATTGGGGCTTAATCATTAATTTCCACATGTCAATGGCCTGCTGTGCAGGGGGAGACAAGGCCAGACTAATAAGCTTCTCTGGGAAAGCTGCTATGTGTTGCACTGCTTCCTACTGTTTCCCTGTGGTACTGAAATAAAACCTAGACACACCATAATCAAGCTGCAGCTCAGTTCTGGATGGGGACCACACAGTTCACTGCTGGGAGGCCCAAGCATGTGTTGTTCAACAAGCATATCCAATAATAATCTTTTCTTGTCCACAACATGTAAAAACTGGGGTTTTCCATTGTACAGGTGGGAAAACTGAAGTCTAGACAAGTATAGGAGTTTTCCTGTCTCTCACAGTGGTTTTCTTGCAGGACCCAGGGGAGATGATGTTTTCTGACCCCTACAACCCTGCTGCACACTCAAGAACATCATAGAATAGTGCAGGTTGGAAGGGTCCTCATTCAGTTCTAACCCCCTGCAATGAGCAGGGGTATCTTCATCTAGATCAGTTTGCTCAGGACCACATGCAGCCTTGAATGCATGCAGGGATGGTGCATCCAGACTGGGCAACCTGTGCCAATGTTTCAGCACCCTCCTTGTATAAAATAGCATGCACAGCCCTTCCAGGCTGCCCCCACAAGGCAGGTTTATCCCTCCCAGATCACACTGTGACCTCCCCTAAGAAACACTGCTCCCATTGGAAAACAGCAATGGCAAGCTAGGAAAAACCTGCTTGGAACTGACCTCCAGAGATACTTTGGGAATTAGCTTATGTAAGGGTGGGAGCAGCCTCCAAACTTGATTAAAACATTGTTCTCCGAGAGACGTGTTGTTCTGCCCCTCCAGTTAGCTGTGGGAAAGGGCACTGGGAGCAAGCACACCACCAGCACATGAGTCACTGCTCAAAAATCCTTCAATGAAAGAGATTGTCCAGATAGTGCTGCTCTCCCACGAGAGGGCTGGAGCTGGTACCCAGCCCTGAGTGCTGGGTTTGGCTCAGTGGCTTTGGGATGGAACAGTGCTGCTCACCTGAACTCCGGGATGGTCAGGAGCAGGAGCTGCTAAAGCATCTTGCATAAGCCACGGAAACAGTAGTGTTCATCCTCAACTTGCATCTATTCAGAGAGAGAAGCATTAAAAAGCATTCCTGCAGTAAAGCTGAGATTGGTTTCTTCAGCAAGCAAACATTAGCACTTTTATGGAGCTTGCTTCCTTCCAGAGGATGGCTTGTGACACCAATCTCTGCTTACAAAACCTGAGGGAATTCCAGACCCTCTGAGACCTGCTGTCTCCCCTACCTGCAGCATGTGTCCATGTGTGACATTAGTTCTCTGTTCCATGCTTTTCCTGGCTGTTGAATAACAAGGCTCCACTGCTTGACTCAAGGTTCTGCATAAGTAATGATGTAGAACATTATTTTTTGAAGGAATTTTCCATGGTTTAATATTTGACTTTTTACTGGGCTTTGTTGGATACAGCACTCCTTGGATTTCATGAGCACCTTGAAAAAGAATTATAACCTTATTATTGCATCTTCTAGCAAGGAAATAGATGCCTTATATAAATCTTCATATATCTTATAGTCAAGGGACTAGTTTGTTATACTTGTATTTCACATGGATCCCATAAGGCCTTCAGAAACATGAATGCAAAAGGGCTTTTCACATCAAAACTCCCCAGCTTTAGGCACTTAAACAAGAGACCAAATGTAGCAGCAAGCTGTCCCACTGCCTGATTCCCACACCTGTAAAGATGATCAAGTCACAGAAAGTCTTTGAAGAGTGAATTAAACACCCTCTGTCTCCAACTGTACCTGTGTTGGCAGCCCACATTCTTCTCTATTGCAGTTTTTCCTAGCCTGGTTTTCCAGGATAATGAGGATTATGCAGCCACTTTGCCACTGCTCACTCTAATGACTTTTAAAGCTATTGGTGAAGTTTCACAAACCTCAGTCTTTAGAGGCCTCTACATTCATGTAACCAGGCAGAAGAGAACAGGTAGAAGAGGGAGAGGTGAAGAATACCCCTTCCTCCTCCCATGCAAGGGAAAACCTCTGTTGTTCTTTGAATTACATGCACAGCACTGGAGATTCAAACAGAAAACAGTGGAAAAATAGCATCCAAAGTGCATTTAAAAAGGAAAAGAGGGCAAAGACACAGTTCAATCTTCTCTGGTAATTCCCTATGGGATATCTCATTTCCCTGTACGCAAAGCAACGCATACGGGCATTTCCAGTGAAGGAAACTCCTCTCTTAGCCCTGTACCTGTCAGCCTCTCCCCCTCTCCAACAATTAGGCAATATTTCCTAGAGGGTGTAACGTTTGCTGAAGGTATTTGCAGTCGCAGGTTGCAACACTGCCATCCTCCCACTCCGAGCTGCTCTCTATATGACCAGAGAGATTAAGGTTGGGAGGGTTGGCCGTGAGAGGTAATCCAGGAAGGCTGAAGGTAAGGCAAGGTCAGGATCCCGACTGGCTCCGTGTGAGCACTGGAGCTAATCAGAGGCATTGTGTATGAACAGGAAAATAGAATGTTCCTGAAGGTCACGGTGACCGGCAGGGAGCAGTGCCAGGGCATTCACACCAGCTTGGCACGGCCACACTGGAGGATGCAGGGCCAACAGAGAGGCTGAATGGAAGCCAAATTCCACCTTCCATCAGTGTTTCTCATCCCTTTTAGTTGGGGGGTGATAGGGGAGTTACCACACAAGAAAACACAGGCCCAGCTCTCTCAGCCTGTTTCCAGAGCAGAGCTGCTCCAGTCTTCGGAGCATCTCCATGGCCTCACTCCAGCAGCTCCTCATCCCTCTTGTGCTGGGGCCACAAAGCTGAACACAGTACTCCAGGAAACTGGAGTGCATTTCCAGCACCAGAACCCCTTGCGTGACCAGCACCAGCCTCCAGGCAGCTGTTGCCAGGGGAGCAGCCTGGGTTTAAAGCACTGAAGGTTTTCTGACCCTCCCAGACAGGCATGGCAGACCTGGAATAAAGCAGAAGCAATCTGAGCTGCTGAGCCTCTGCTTGCTGCTGTGGATGCACTGTGCCTCAATCCATGAAGCAAGGCAGGCTGTACTCTTCCAGAGTGCAAACCTGCTCCATCACAGCATGTTTTGCTTCTTTAGAAGTTCTCTGTGGCCTGACCAGAAGTCAAGTGCAAGTTCTCTGAACTGAAGGCAGATGAGGTGCAGTTAGAGCTCTGCTAAAGTGTTTAGGAACTGCCAAGCAAAGGTTAGAATTTCCATACCTTCTTGTTGGCTTAATATACAGTTTTAGCCCCTGAAAGAGGGGGCTAAAAGGCATGAAGTTGTGACTGTATGGAATACCTCTAATCTGCATGAAGATATGGGGCAGAGGGGTTTATCACTAAGCTGCTGAAGCTATCTTGTGTCATCTCATGACAGCAGTGCTGGCTTACACACTGGACAGCTATTTGCATCTCTAGTATGATATTTGGATTGAATGTTCCAGGCCCTTACTCCAAACATGATTTGGCAAATCCTCAAAGCCTGAGTTCTCACCAGATCACCAAAACTGGGATCACCAACCTGCTGTCAGCAGATATCCTTTGGTAGAAACACTGAGCTGTTTTGAGGTGTTGCAGAACTACCTCTCCAGACAAACAAGATGATGCCTAAAATGTTCTTCTTTGATATCAAAGGCTTTACATCAATTCTGGATGCAGAAGCACCATCACTTTACTATCACCAGCAACCACTGTTTGTATTAGTGTCTGTTACTGAGAAAGTGCTACAGAAACATCATTAAACAGAAAGACATAAGGATGATGATCCTTCCTTTTGCAGGCCAGGCTGAAATGGCCTTTGTGCAAGATGCAAGGAAGCTACCAACAGGCTGGATCCTTATTAGCTATCAGAGGTGAATATTGTATCCTGTTTTAGCTATTGATTGTACTAAGTCTTATGACCAGGTTCTCATCTGATGCCAGTTACCTCTTCTTATACCACCCAAACACAGAGCATGAATTCCCCACATACTGCACATAATTTACACCATTTTCATTTACACCCTGAGAAAATAGAAGCCCATCTCTTTGCTTCTAAAATAGTTCAAGACCAAAATTATTGACATTGGCTGACAAATATCTCATGAAATTAAATTACTTCATACCAACATTTGACTGTTTCATTGAAAACATGAAGAGAAACAAGCCATTCATTAGCAAGCAGCTCCTTTGAAAATAAACCATTGCTTTGGAGGGAGAATTTGGCTGAAATGCCCCAACTCTTTCAATGCCCAAACCAAGAGCATTATTTCTGTGGCATGTTTGTTGTTGAGCTCAGCTCTGTGCTTTGGCAATAAGAAACAGATTTACTTGTTTCAAATTAAAACCTTTTTAATACAGAGGTAATCTCTAGGTCTTGTCTTTAGGAAGATGTTTAGCTCATTTGGTGTTCTTACATGCAAATTTCAGCTACATTCTGGGGAAATCAGTCAGCTTCTACACTGTTAAACCTTCCTTTACATGGAAAAAGGAAGGTTTGCCTTCTAAGCTCTGCTTTTTTTCCCTTTGGTAGCAAATGACACAAAGCAGCCTGCATCTCCCTGCCCGTGTCCATCCCCATGGGCACTGAAAGCAGAGCTGAGATAGGAGCTGCTTGAACATATGCTGCCAACATGCAATTCCCAAAGAAATTAATGAGCCAAATTCAGGATTGTCTCAAGCAATGTAATTCACTGGTGATGCCCGGTGTGAAGATAGCCTCTGTGGGGGCTCTGGAAGGGAATCCTGCTGTTTCATTCCATGCTGCTAGTCACTGTGACAAGTTAAAGACTGTTTCTCCAATGGCTCTTCCCCCTCCCCACCACAAACATCTTCTGGACAGAGAAACAGCCCAGAGCTGAGTTCAGATGCACAAACTCAGCCTCTGGAATACCCACTCCTCTCTGGTGATGAAGTGTGGTATCCAAGCCACTCTTCTTTCCTAAGAACTCAGGTCCCAAGAAGCATCTAATCCCATCTCTGATAAACAAGGGAAAAGGCCCTTGCCTCAAATTTATGCAATCAGGCAACAGGAATATGCCCTGCATCCCTGTTTCTCCTTACCTTGATGTAAAACACACAAGCAAATAAAGACTTAAGAGGGCTCTTGCTTAAATAACACGTGTCAGAAGATCCAGTGAAACGAAGATTCATCTCGAACACTGGGAGATTCTATAATTAGACAGAAGAGATGATAAAAGGCTCCCACCCCCTGGGTCTCTGTATAGAGATGAGAGAGACAGGTACATGTTCAGACTAATGGAAGAATACCTTACCAGCACTTCAATCACTGCAGGATATTTCACGTGTCCGTGTCTTGGGATAAATGGGACTGTTTAAAATTGGTTAATCTCTTAGCAATCCAGGCAAGGAGGGAAGTGGTGAAAGAGCCCAAAGCTCTGGCAGGAGCTAGGAACAAGCAATTAAACGTTAAAAATAGAGAAATCAATATTTACATTCCCATATCAAAGAATAACAAGAGCAGCACTTTAACACCCCGTGTTAAGGCAGAGGAGAGAGACCAACCCCACTGGTGGAAGATACCAGTAGCTGGAGGGGTGGGACTGCTTCATGGTACAACCTTTGCATAACATGCTCTGGGTTTAGGAAGCAGCTGAGCTCTGCTGCTTTCCTGCATGGCTTTTTATTTCCCTGATGCTTATGCATAATGCATTCACCTGCCTTTGAGCTGCTTGCAAACAGCCTGTCCAAAAACGTTGACTGAGTCGCCAATGACAGCCTCTTGTAGAGGAGGACAGAGCGTGTTTTTGTTTGGTCTGGTGCTCTGAAGGCAAAAGGAGAGCGCCACAAGAGCCAGGCACTGCTCCCTGCTGGAGATCCTCCTCAATGCAACTGTCCCAGCATCCTGCAGGGAGCAACTGGAATCTCACTGTGGAAAAAGCTCGTTCCAGTTGGCTTCAAGACATTGCTGAGGCAGGGCTCTCCATCGTGGACGCTGTGCCCTGGCTTGTCTGAACTGGTTGTTTAGTGTGCTCTTTTGGTTTGTTTTGGTTTGGATTTAAGGAGGAACTTCAAGGCAGGAATCCAGGGATTAGCACTGATAATGCTGCAGTGTGGAACAACACCGAGGCTTTTAGTGGTAGAAACCTTTGGTGCCAAGGATTACGTGAAGCAGGAATTTAAAGCAAGTCCTGCCTCAAAGAATTTGCAATGTGCTTCCTTTATTCCAAAGCAAAGTGAACCAGGTGTGGGAGCCTGCTGGGAAATCCAGTAATTGGGCACAGAGTTCACCATGCACTGCACCTGTGTTCATAGGTGGAGTGCAGCAAAGACATAAAACAACTGCTTGTAAAATAGGAGAGATAACAGCATCCAATACCTTTGTTCCACTTACGGCAAAGGAGTTTTGTCATTGAGATGGAAGTTTTTACCCATGTAGCCACAGGATGTCCTATAATAGTGATAAAAGAACAGCCGAAGGAGGAAGTGACTCCAGTCTCCTGCTCCCTCCTTCCCTGCCACCACTTAATTCCATGGGAACAGAACTAGGACAGGGTGGACTTTTTCTTCTATTCACGTGTTGTTCCAAAAGGTTTTGGGCATGGCCAAGTTGAAGAGACAACAGAGGCATAGTTTCTTCAAGTATTAAGCCTTTGTATGTTTTCCATAAGTCTGGAGAAGAGGGTATTGATATCCCAAATACACATTATAAAGCACAGTGTTAGACCTCTGGGCCTCTATCTCTGTCAGGGTGAGATGATACTCGAGTTGTTTCAGCTACTTTAGAACCCGACTGTAGACTGCACCAGAGAATTGTCTGTGCTGTATGAAGAACATCAGAGACCTGAAATACAGGCAAAGCATGAAGGAAAAGTGATGAAGTCTCATTTTGTCTTGTGAAAGAAAAGCTTTTGCTATGTATTACAGAGAAAGAACACTTGACAGGGAAAGATTTGGAAGTGATGCTTTTGGTTTAGTTTAGCATTCCTAGAAAGCCAAGAAGTTGGAAGATCTTCATAGCTGCTAAAGCTAGAAACAAGCTCTGACATTCTCCACCCAATGGCACTTACTTGTTAGGCAGATCCATTCACTTCATACTTAAAAAGTATTATTATTCCCTACAAATTTATCAGATTTTGAGCCTTGGGGCCTGAGAATAAGCACCAGAACCCCTGCAAGACTGAAATGATTAGCTACCAGTTTGAAGTTTCCCATTCCCACCCCTCCAGTCATTCTCACACCAGTTCACATGTGCCACCCCACTTTGTGGCTGCCTGTCAGGGGACCTCAGAGCTGTCACATCCTGAGCTTGTCAAAATTCCTATAGGCTTTACAGTTGGAAGAGTATCTGTTTCAATGCATAGTGTATGGCTAACGCTTTTTAGGAGGCTCTTCTTGCCTCCTTTGTACCTCCACGCCTCTCTAGACCTTGCAGTCTGTCAGGCTCTGCCATAGCCACCCCCAGCTTTCCATCTGGAATGACTTGTACTCAGCTTATCCAATGGCTATAAACCCAGCTGAAGCAGTTACCTTACAGTGTCTTCTTCTGTACCAGCTGTCTTTCTAGAGATGGATTTTATGGAGAAGATCCCAGCTCATCTGAAGTTTCTCCATTTCCAATTTTGCAGCTACTTTTCAAGTGCAGCTTGAGAAAGCCAAGAATGATGAGAACAGAACAGAGGGTAAAGCAAACCCTCAGGAAAAACAGCCAAAAGAAGAGATCCTAAAAGTACCAGTGGGACCAGGCCCATATTTTGATATCAGTGGATCTAATGGAGCTAGGCTGTATGTAGGTCCTCTTAGCAGACTCAATATGAACAGTAGTACAACCAGATATGAAGTCATGCAGTATTCTCCATTGGCCTTAAATAATTTTCCTTTGATTTCCTATCTTTTTGGAGAGGTAAACCTGGGGAACCATTCAAAGATAAATCAAATAGAAAGTACCCATAGGAAGGCCACTAGTGGTGAAGCAGCTAACTGCATCTTTGCAAAGGAATGAAGTACTTCTATTTGTTTAATGAAAGCTCCTCTGTTTGGGCTGTGCAGAAATCACTTCGCTACACCATGTAGGAAAGCTGCTAGCATCACCACTAGAGCTAGCAACCCCTGTTGTTGATCAACATTCTGTTGTGCTAAATGCAGAGCAAGCAAAAAAGAAGAGATTCCTGCCCAAGAAAAACTGTCACATCAGAAGTTCCATGCTTTCCTTTCTGAGCTCTTTCCAGCATGTTGGCATTCTTCTCTGGATGTTGTCACCACCAAGCACCACAGAATCTCTGCTGCAAGCAGCACCTCTTTGCTATGTTTCCATAGTCTACAAACAGCTTTTTCTATTGCTGTTTGTCATCTCTCCCTATACTCCTCAGCAGAGAAGCTCCTTATTAAGACTGGACTCTGAACATTTCTATTCCATGGGTACCAGCTGCATCCTAATTGGAAAAACCCTGCTGAAATGGTACAAGGTCTCATTAGAGCTGCTGAATCATAATGTTCTTTAGCATCCTCAGCTACTCCCCCTGCCTCTCTCAAGTCCAGACCAGGTCCACTAGCAGCAGTTCTAATGAATGCTTCCCACCTTATCCCCCACCCAGGGCCTCCTGGGTATATTAGGTCAGGCTGCCAGGGAAAATTCAAGGGATATGAGCTAAGTATTTGTTATTAGAAGGGAGGATCCTGTTCTATTTTGTTTTCCTTATGCAGTGTGAGCATCTATTGCCAGCTAAGAGGCTGGCAGTGTATCTATGACAACACAAGAGAGGATTATGCACTGAAATGGTGTGAAATCAAGTGCCAGGAGACCTATTAACATTTCAAAGAAGGTAAAGGTGCCTGTGGGCCCTGCGCCGGAGAGGGTGGTGGGAAAAACTTGGGAATGCTGGAGTTGTGATTCCCAGGAGAAACAGGGAACCTCAGCCTCCTGACAGAGTTTGGAGGGGACATCAGAGATTGCAATGGTGATTAAAGGGTTAGACAAGGAAACAGCTCTGGGAGAAAGGATACCATTGAAATGAACTAAGGAGAGTAAAATGAGCAGTAGAGTTTTAAACACAAACCATCAGTCGTGTTAGAAACACAGTCCTCCCTCCTCCCCAGGCTTGTGGAATTGCTCTTTACCTTTGGTCTGATAGGAGCATCCTGACTCCCCAGCTTTCCCACCGTTAAAGCACAAACCCAAGGTCTCCCAAAGCACCACCTCTGCCTGGCACCCTCAGAGCAGTACTTTGCATAACAAACACAAACTCCCTAAGCACAGCCCCTGGGGCAATTCTTTTACTCCTGGGAGCTGGTCAAGGCCTGTGCCCTGGCAAGCCTGAGCATCATAGCACATTGCTGCAGGCTTCTCTGTGGTAGAAAGAGTGGTACCACTGCCCTGCCAGTCCATGTACAGCAGCCACCTCTCCCTTTTCCTTCCTGCCAGCTCTTCTGGCAGCTGTTTGTCAGGCTGCCCCATGACAGCAGTTGGCAGTGCAGAAGGGGTATGTTTCAGTGCAGTGCTGCAGCTGGAATGCTGTGACAGCAGTGGCACTGTTGAGAGAGCAAGGGATGCGCTATTTCAACAGTGACAAAGTCAGCTTCCTCCTCCAGACTGGGACAATGAGGGCAAGTTTTATGTTTCTTCTCATACAGGTGAACAGCTTCTCTATCAGATTCCCAACAACAGAGTCCTCACCAGTAAGATAGGGCTTTTGTGCTGCCTGCAAGAGCAAGAGCAAGTGATGAATACCATCAGTAGGAACCCTAATTCCAAGTAAGAACCCTCACCTCTTTGAGCCTCGACCAGAAACATGCCAACAGAAAGGACCATTTTCTTCTGGATGGTACAAAGTATATGGGGGTTTACTTCTCTCTTATTTTCTAGAAAAGGCCCTTTTTCCCCCCACAAATACATAGATCAGAGACTGAATTCCTTCCTTTCTCTATGTCTGGAGTTGTGGGAGTGCCAGGTCCTCCCCAAAGACAACAGCCATAGTAATTGCCCAGTTTGGGGTCCTACTGGAAAGGCCACAACTTCTTGTGCCATGACCACTGTAACTGAAGAGAAGCTTATTGCCATTTCTGCTCCTTTATTTTTGATGTACCAAAAGCCCAGCGGGCGATCCTGTACCATGCTCACTGCAGCCACCTCAGCCAGTTTCCTAAACACTGACCATACGAAGAATGTCTTCAGGATAAAATAGCTTCTTGAAAGCTGATGGAATGAGGAGCTCTGGAAAAACATACAAACACACACACAATTGTCCACAAGCAGGAAAGAAACCCCATGATCTCTGGAAGTAGCAGAGGCATGGATGTTCTGGACAGGGGTTTCAACTTGTGTTTGACTCTCCCACAGGTTACTGATGATGGAAGAATTCTTCCCAGAATCTTTTCACGTGGACTTAAAAAACTGAGAGACAAGCCTTTTTTTGCCCTTTGCAAAGGTGAATTGTCTTAATCACAGTGGCAATCAATGTAAATACCTATGTGATCCTCTGAAATGCTCACAGAAGTATACCCAGTAGTGACAACGGGTGTCTATATGTGGAGGTACATATATACACATATGTCCATGTGAGTGGATTTCAGAGCCCACCAATGGGCACATCAGTGTTTCATGCCACACACAGTGTTGTAACAGACTCATTCTCTCTGCAGATGAAAACATCTGGATCTGCAAACCGAGTTGCTCTAACCAAGGTGTGGAGACCTCAGAGCAGCCTTCCAGTATCTGAAGGGGGCCTATAGGGATGCTGGGGAGGGACTCTTCATTAGGGACTGTAGTGATAGGACAAGGGGTAATGGGTTAAAACTGAAACAGGGGAAGTTTAGATTGGATATAAGGAGGAAGCTTTCCTGTGAGGGTGGTGAGGCACTGGAATGGGTTGCCCAGGGAGGTTGTGAATGCTCCATCCCTGGCAGTGCTCGAGGCCAGGTTGGACAAGGCCTTGGGTGAGATGGTTTAGTGTGAGGTGTCCCTGCCCATGGCAGGGGGTTGGAACTGGATGCATTTAAGGTCCTTTCCAACCCGAACTATTCTATGAGTCTGTAATTCTAAGGTCGAGGAATTTTCCTGCTTAAAACTCCAGCTGCTGTCAGCACCTTCCAAGACAAGTTCCACAGAGCCGAGGAATACCTGCTCAGTAAGAGGGTGCTGTGCAGGGCTCCCCAGGCAAGAGTAGTGCAAAGGTAGACATTGAAACCTGGAAAGCCATGTGTGAGTGGTGTGCTTGATTGAGCCTCAGAGAGCTGCATTGTTCCATTAGGTATTTCATGTGGTTACACCACATCTCCTCAGTCTATGAGATTTCATGCTGTGGGACAGAGGCTACGTCTCTGGTTAGTCTGTCTTATATCTGCACATCAGGCGTTTCAAGGTAGATCTTTGTCATCAGAAAGACTGGAGTTTACCTTTGTCTGGAAGCTTAAGAATGGTTTTAAAAGGCCAGATGCTATGGGTCTGTACAGGAGGTCTATGCATAAAGCCTTTTGAAAGCAATTTAAATGAGATATAATCCCAGCTTCTTATACAAAGCTGGCATTTTACAAATGATACAGCTGCAGTATCTGTTCTCTGCAGTATAATAAAGCCTCCCAAATACCTTCTTAACTCTGCTTCAACGCTGCAGAAGTCTAGACCTCCATCAATAGGCAGTGGCTACCAGTCACTAACATTTTGGGTTGGGGTTGGTTTACAGTTCATTCTTTGCATGAATTAACTATGCAGGTCCTTCTTTGTATACTACATACGCTAAAAGGCACTATTAGAATGTTTGTAGAAAGCAGCAGCAGGAAAAGGAAGGGAAAAATAAGGCAGCAGAAGTCATGAGAAGAGTTTCAGCGACTGAACACTACCTGTGCTCTGTTAACTCCACTTCCCTTTGCCTCAGTGTCCCTCCCTCAGCTGAGGAATGCATTATAATTAAATCACTTCAGTGCTTTGAGATGAGGGAATAAACCTTTCAAAGAGGAATGCAAGAAAGATCAATTATCCCAGGAGCTGCACTTCCCAGCTGCCTTTGATGTGCACAGGTAGGCACGCAGGGCTCTCTAAACTTCATGGTGCCCAGCCAGGCATGGCACTGTCATGCATGCCAGCAACGACAGTGTGATGCAGTCGTGATAACACTGTAGTACTGGCATGGCAAAAGCACGTTTTGCCATGGAGCGATCACTGCATGTCCTGGCAAAGTGGTGATACCAGTTCCTCACATTGACCCTGTGCCACATCCCTGACATTCTGCTCTCCTGGCTTGGCATCTTTATCTTGCAAAAGAACACAGCATACACAGCAACCTTTCCAAGGGCTTCCCTGGCCAAAGCAAGCAATGTTCTCTGTTTACATTCATCCACACGTCTTTTTGGTACAAAGGAATGGTTGGCTTCATTGCAAAGGGTAAGAGAGACTTGTAAAATGATGATCTTACAGGCTGGACTGTGTTTATGCAGCAACCATTGCATGGAGCAAAACAACATCTCCCTAACAAAACCAGACCAAGCGCCGCAATTAGACCAAAATGTGGTCTCTGACATGGACAAGTGCCAGGGGAGAAAGTGGTTGGACCCTATCTTAGATCCCATCTTGGTTTCCAGGAGTGAGGAATGGCTTTTGCTCTGAGGAAAGGGGCTCCACACACCTTTGAAAACTGTTAGCATTGTTTTAAGAGCATATCCTTGTTATTTCTGTAGCCATCCAGCAACCTTTGATGATAAAGGGAAACGATTCCCAGCTTACATCACTCTGGCAATAAAAGCAATGGTGCTGTATGAAGGGCTCTTTGTGTCCAAACGTAAACTTTGTGTATTCTCCAGTAAATATTAGTAAATCTTTAATTACCTCCTGCTCCTGTACTCGGCACAGTTTCTATTCCTCTTCACGGAGCTGCTCTTGGCGTCTTTATCCTCTTCTACAAGCGCCCTCTGCTGCCACTCACCTTAAAACCTGGGAGAAAGGGACAGATGAATTCTGTGGGGTGACTGAACTGTCTGTGCGCTTGTGTGAGCTGAGTGATCATGGATTACAGCTGCCTGCTGTGACACGTGTTGAAGTACTGCTCTCACAGGTACATTCAGCACAGTGGAAGGGAAGAAGTTTGATGTCTGCTCTTACCTCCTCACTGCCTGCACTGCACCATACCTGTTATTCTTTGCCCAGGGTTATGTCAGGCTGACCTGTGTCAACTATGATGCTGCTTCTGATGATCTGACTGCTCATCTGACCAACCAGGTAAGCTGAGGTCACCCAGCGCAGGAAAAAGGGAGTGTGAGACTGACAGATGGGAAGCAAAAAAGGACTTTTGAAAGGCTAAAAATAAGGGTTTCATGCATGCAAAATCTCTGCAGCCAGGAAATGCACTTGGGCTTGTGGTCGGGCATGGCAAAAGAGCAGAACAGAAACCTTATCAGAGCAGGTACTGCTCTCTGCCATGGACCAGCTCCCTGCTTACCTGACACCTTCTCTCCCTAGACCTCTTTTTCTTGCCATTTTTCTCTCTTGTATCTGCAGACTGTAAGCTTCTTAGGGCAAGAAGCCTTTGACTGCAGCTACCTAGCTCAAAGGAGCCTTAATCTTGGCTAAGGATTTTGCTGATCCCATTGTGCTGAAATACAATAATCATAATGATGTAAGACGCAGAGGTGCTCTCTGAGAGCCATAATTCTTAAACCTTCATCTTCGCTTGTCCTCCTCAACTGTGAGCTGCCACAGAACAAAACTGTTCTGGCATTTACCTCCATACAAAACTGAAGCCTTCCTTGCTCACATCTACCCCAGTTTTTACTTCAAATGAAGCCTGTAACTTGTCAGAAGTGGCCCTGATGAAAGCGAATTAAAAGAAGGAAGAAAACAGTTTGCTTTTAAAGCCCTTCTGTGCTCCCAGAAGCATGCTGTGTTCAGACAACTAGCAAAATATACATTAGGGAGGCATCAGACAAGCCCACTTCAGTTGGAGTTTTACTGTTCCTATAGAAGTGCAGTTCAGGACAGCAGATTATAGCTGCTTACTGCAATATATGCTACTATCAATGTGCCACTTGTTTTCCTGGAATAGTTTGTTTGCTCAGCTACAGAGCTATCCCCATGGGAATTCAGGTGCTGGGGCAGGATCCCAGAGCACAGGTGATAATGAACAGAGGACAGGTGCTTATTAGCAGAACACAAATTATGTGGGATCCTGCTGGGAAGAGGGAAAGGAAATTTGCAGGAGCAGCTGGTAATAGGCCAGACTTCTTCAAATTACAGCTGATTCTGCTCTCCTTCCCTTCCTGCCCTGGCATCCCACCTGGAATCAGCCATTTTCCTAGTGTCTTTCCAAAAGACAAGCGTCAGGAGGCACATCACTAACCAGAAGCTTTGCAACCTCACAGTAAAGGTCCCACAGTTGAGTTGGGAAGCAAAAGAAATACTTAACTCCATCTGACAAAGGGATTAATGAGCAGAAGAGAGAAGCCCTCACCTTGGTTCCCTCTGGGGATCCATCCATCCATCCATCTGTCCCAGATTTAGGAGACTTCCAGGCAATGGAACTGGATTTAGTCCAAAGAATATCATGTCTGGGACTTGAAAGCACCTCCTCCTGTCACACAACACTGCTTTGACCTTAGGTAATTGTCACTACAGCATCCACGTGGGTCAGGCACATTTGTGCTTGTGGTAGTGTTGAACAATGGGAGTCAGGACATTGGCTCAGCACTAGCTCTGCTAGTGAGGAGATCTATTCCCTCCACCTCTGTTGTGTGATCCTGGGGCTCATCCCAACTCCAGATGCCTGGAACAACTCAGGATAGCTGGATGCCTGCTGTGCAAGGCCATTACTCTTCAGTGCCAGAAATCTAATCCTCCCATTGCTGTGTTTCCCCACCTCTCAGTACATGCAGAAGAACTCCCTGTACAGCCAGCTGAAAGATGAGACCATTTGGCGGATGGAACATTTCAACAGCTACGTTAATGAGAAGTTCAGAAAGTCCAAAGGGCTCCCCAAAGACTGGGATTTCACTGTTTACTGTAAGTGGACGGTGTGCTCATCTGCCTCATTAGGGTGACAGGAATAGCAGGAAGACACATCACTTCCCCCAAGGAAACACATACACTGAGCGAGAAGGTATTGATGGTCCCATAGTACCCATTTATCTGCAGATGCTAAACACAGAAGTGAAGACACAGAGTTTAGTTTTAATAACAAACAGCTGAGAAAAACAGTGTGATTGTAAATGTTAGCTCTAAAAATCCTATTATGGTCTTCATGCTCCCGGGCAGTGCTGTGGCCCTGCATTAACACATTAAGTACACATCATAGAGCTCTACAGCCTGGCAGCCTGGAAAGGGACTACACTTTTAGTGGTCTCTTTCCTGTTTAACTTGGTCTCACTGTTCACTCTGTCTGATTTTGCCCCATGAAAAGCATGTCAGGGCCTTAAATCTTCTCTAGCATGGAGGAGAGATAAGAAGACTCCGATTCTGACCATCTTCTTGTCTCACTGAAGAAATTATCCAAGTCCCTGAGACTTCATCAGCCTGAGTTTAATGATACATCAGTTCCCTACATGACTTGATGGGTGAAAAGGGCGGAGGACAGAGCTTTCTCAGGTTAACTTTGGAAATGGGGTAGTTTAAAGCCAAACACAAAGAAAATTCATTGTTAAAATACACTGTTGTTCAGAAAAAAGGCTCAGAAGAAAACATAGTTGAATTTGCCACATTTCTCAGGGGATCAGAAACTTTTCAGCCAATTTTAGGGTATCTCTCTAAACTCGGCAATTCCCCACTGTGCATTTCAACTCCAAACTGACTGAAGCTTAGCATCCCCTACTACAAGTTGCTGTGACTCACCAGGCTTCTTTAAAACACCATGTCCAGCACAGCTGTGAGGGGCTTCTAAAGCATCACTGTCAGCAATGGCTCTGTTCAGCTCACATCCAGGTGCCCCCAAGGAGTAAATGAAAGAACACTGCTAAACATTGTACAGACAGCTCATTCAGATTAAGGCACAAGGGCTGAGATTCCTCCATGCATCACTGCAGTAGCCTGGAGAACCAAGGTCAAGATAGGGTTTCATTCCACTCAGCCTAGAGAGAAGCTCTGCAGGAAGCAGGGACGAGTGTCCTTAAACCCAAAGGACACCTCTGACATCCACTGACTTCTTCCTAATGATCATTTTCCACCTTTCCCTCTCTTCCATTCCAGAAAAGGATGAAGCAGATTATTTTGCAGTGCTTCCTGGCAGCCAAGCACAAACTGGATCGCAAACTGGGCTACTTCTGTCTCATCGGTTGCAACTTTCCAATTGATGAGAACTTTAAAGGTATGAACACAATACTGTGAAATCCTAAGTATAATATTGGCTAGATATCCAGCATAGCACAGTTGACACAGGCTCTGGTGCCAGGAACTAAACAGAGCACTAAATCAGTCAGGATCAAGTGCAGGATTCATTATTCACTCCAGTTCCATTGCCCAGCATCAAGACATGGCACTTGCATGTTCACTGCACAGAGAAACCTTGCCATTAACAGCTCAGGATGGGGACAGCAGTTTTCATTGCAGGTGAAGCTGTTGTGTGCAGAATTTCCACAGCAAAGTGAAGTTCATAATGAAAAGTACTGAAATCTTAATGCCCACCCAGTTTCTTCTTTCTCCAGAAAATGCCAGGTGATCAGCCAGCATAAATCAGTGTGTAATGCCTCTACCATCACATCAAGTACAGTGATCTATACTAGCTGAGTACCCATCAAAGGCAATGAAGAACTCGCCCTCCCCATGCTGAAGAATCAATCATTATTGATTCTGATGTCAGCATCAGCTTCTCCATGTCCACCTTTAGCTATAGGTCAGGACACTGAGTCCACAAAATACGTTAGAATTACAACTCAAGCTTGTAAAGAGCGAGTAAAACACAGACAAGAAGAGCCAGAAGAAAGGGAAAAGGAAATGTTAAATAAAGCAACTGAGGTGCTTTCAATGCAGCATAGTCCTTTAAAACCACCTGGCCTAAACATAACAGAAAGCCATCTGGCAGATTCTGCTGTTGCTAAAGCAGAAGGGAACTCAAACATATTCCAGCAAAGGGCAGTGAGAACAGCAAACCCTATGAAAGAATGGAATTAATGTATGCAGCAGTGGGTAAGGCACCTGAACAATAGACTCCTTTGTACAGGAAGTCAATGGCAAAGGAGGGTAAATGGCAAAGACACAGAAACCGGTGCTTCTCAGATTTCAGGGGGAATTGTCTTTTGCAAGGTTGGCATGCAAAGCCCTGGCTGTGTAAACTTTAAGTAGAATAGAAGATCCAGTATCACTCTATTGTGGTAATTCCTACTTGGCTCCTTAAAAGCTTCAGCATTTAAAGACAATTACATCCCCGTGTATTTTACACACAGAGAGATAAACAGAATCTCTCTACAAGCATTACCTACAAGAAGGATGAGGATTTCTGGACATGGAGTGGAGACAGAGTCAGCTGGAACCTGGAACTTCCCTTTGAGAGAGAATAATGTAGAAATAGCCTTATTCTCCCTGATATCCTATTTCACAACATGTAGAACCTGCTTTATGCTGATTCAACATGGTCTTATACATCCAGTCCTGCAGCTCATCCTGCGTTTCTCTCTTCCTTATTTGTCTGAGATACAAATGCCCCCAGCATCATCCCTAATAATTCTTGAAGGCCCTGCAGCATAGACTCATAGAATAGTTCAGGTTGGAAAGGACCTTAAGCTCATCCAGTTCCAACCCCCTGCCATGGGCAGGGACACCTCACACTAAACCATGGCACCCAAAACAGCATCCTGATTCTGGAAGGTGTTTTTCCTCCCTCTGAGTTCCCAGAAGCATAGACTATGACAGCAGGCCCTGATGAGAAACCACAGCGTTCTGCAGAGCTTTGCATATTCATATGTAAGCTGAGAAGAAAAAGAAGTGCCTTAAGAGGACAGGGAGCTGAAGAGAGGGATGTGGCTTTGCTGTTGGCTTTTTTCCTACTGTTTTCTGAAGGCTCCTTGTGCTGCCTTACAAATGCTCTAAGTCACTGCACAGCTTAGGACAGTGTCATTGAAGTGCTCAAGGAACCTGCTTTCAGAGAGCATTGCATCAGCCATGCAGAAGGGCTTCTCTCCAGAGATATGCTGGGAAAACAGATGTGTAAGGTTTTTTATCAGCCATAAAGGGATTCAGCTCTTTATCAGCAGAGAACAGAGTGAACATAGATAAGCTATTTGCCAATTTGTCAGAGGTGTACCTAAATGAAGATAACACTCAAATCCCTAGTTAAAGCAGGGACGGTTCCTTTGATTTGAACGGCGGAGCTTTTCATTCACCCCCAGAGCAGGAGGTACCATATGGATACTGTAGACTTGGCTGTGTCCACCCCAGGTCATGATGATAAAAAAAGCTCATAGGAGCTTGTTAAGACTGTGGAAAACAGACCCCACTGCCTCAGCCTCTGGTCTCCACTATTGCTAAGCAGGTCCCTTTCTGGGTCAGCTCCCTTTCCAGAGCTTGGTTTTTGATTGTGCTTGTGGCTTCAGCTATTTCCACACAGGATACAGAACAAGTTATTTCGTTCCTATTTCTGACTGGTATTTCAGTGCTGCTTAAAGCTCCAGTCAGAGGTCAGGCTCCCTGCACACAGGGGCAACACGGAAGGACCCTTAACAGGTCTTTTGCATGAACCTAGTCTCATCATCCAGTGCTCCTTTGAAAGACTGAACTGCTGCAATAAGGATGATTCTACAGCAATGAGACTACAATAGTAAGCAAACTGGATGGAAACAAAACCACTGCATCCAGCACTATGCAAAGCACATGAAATGAGCCCTCAGATCCTGGTGTAGTGCAGGACCTGGCTGCAGCGAGCCTGTTGTTCAAGAGCCTTTGGACAAGTCCTGTTTAAAGCTTTTAAGCCTACCTGTGATGTCTTGACAGAACAAGTCTGATGTGACAGAACACATTGTACTGGCAGGCTGCAGGGAGCAGTAACCTCTTCATCCCTTAGAAACATCCCAAGCAGCACTTCTGACCAGAGAGCCACAGGGCACTCATTATTGTTCTCATCAATTGAAAAGCCTAAAGGAAAAGATCTATGGTTGGAAAGTCAAGGACAGATAATTCTGGGTTTTGGTTTCCTTTTCTTTATCATATGTTTGCTAGGAAATTCTGAGCAAGATACCTGCATGGCAGATGCAGAGAAAAGCACAGGAATTTCATTTACTTGAAATACCTATGAAAGTTATGGATATTCAAATAGATGTGGTGAATCTTGGCCTTATTCTCTCTGCTTTTCCTGGAATAGAACAAAGGGCATTTATTAACTTGCCCTGGTTGTGGAGAGGTTAAGTGCATTTCCAAACTGTGAGACGTTCAGACAACATAATAATAGGGAATGTAGATGAACAGCGTGATAGACATCACAGAGAGCTTTCTTCCTCCTGTCAGTTGTATTTGTTTTAAAGGAGAAGAAACCAAAACCTAATCAAGACAATTATGAAGGTTCATTGAGTTTGTCTGTTAGCACAAAATCTTCGGAGCTTTTAAGAGGAAAATGAACACTTACTGAGAATGGGCTTGCCAAGAAAAACGGATGTCACTTCGGTGCCCTCTGTTGGCATCTGTAAAGCAGGTTTGGCAGCAGCAGCTCCACTTCTCTGGAAAATCAAACACCAACAAAGCCGTGTCACTGCCTTCCCTTGCCAGTCTCTTAATAAAGGATTTCAAAGAAGTGAAAACTGTGGTTGTATTTTCTTCTTGGCAAAATAAAGCGCCAAAGTGAAGGCCATCCCGTTGCCAAAGCAAACTCACTGCTGCTGCAGGAAAAACACAAACCTTTCCAATTATACTCCTAAATCAATCAAAAGAGAGTAAAATCCTCCTGGGGCTGTTACACCATTAAATATCCCCCCTTACAAACTGATGATAGTTCCTACATGTGCTATATGCAGGATGCAGCACCATACAGTGAAGGCAGGAAGTGAAGAGTTTCTCTTGCTGTAAGGGAAAGGAATAGTAAATGGAATTAGAGGCAAGCCAATTGTTTGGTTTCACACAGGCTTATAACTGGACATCATATTCTGTGGCTTGTAGCTTCAGCTCTTGGCATTTCAAAGGGAAATGGAGATGAGACAAGTACAAATAGGTCAAATTAGTGCCTTAAGGGGCTTCTACTGAAAACTAAATCAGGAAATCAAGGCTAAGGGTTCATTGAAAACTCATGTCTGCCCAGTTTTGATCCCATGTCCACTTCAAATCGAGTCCTAGATTCCTTATAATAGTATTTCATGGTATCCAAAAAACTCAACTACAAACTGTTATGGAAACTGGTATATTAAAAAACACAAGTGCCTTTACATACCTATAGAGAAGAGTTAATCTAAAGAGCATCAGCTGAAGACACAAAACAATGTGTGGTGCTGTTCTCATGTAAGTAAATGAATGCAAAAATGGGATTTTGTTTAACTCATCCACTCTGTCCTTCTTGCATCCTATGTTAGGGATTTTGTTGGGATTTATTAGTGCTCCTACCTCTCAAAGTGGTCACTAAGTCATCCAGAGGGCATTCCTCTGACACCAGCTGCCTGACTGGCATTCATCTTTCCTAGGCCTGCCTTCTGGAGATGAATGCAAGCCCAGCACTGCACACCAACTGTGAAGTCTTGAAAGACATCATCCCAGCCATAGTCTATGAGAGCCTTGATAAGTGAACAAGTCACAGTCTTAATAGTAATAATCCACAAACCACAGGTTGGAAACATCTTCCCCTCCGCACCCTTCATCCTTCCCCCAAGCACAGCTGCTCTATGCATACACACAATGGTTTGGGTGTATTCTAGCACCAGTGTTCAGACCATCCCATAAATGCATCTTCCTTTCCAGATTTGGTTCTTGAGTTTTTCAACAAGTGCCTCAAAGGCCACGGGATTTTGCCTTTAGAGACATTGTCATTTTGTGCTTCTCTATCACGAGGATGATGCAGACCTGGGCCAGAAACAACCCTTGAAGCTCCAAAGTGGCCTGTATAAAGGCCAATACATGCTGCCACACACACAGAGTGCCAGCCGGGCCATAGTGCTGGAGAACTCTCCACAGAAGCCTGGTTGAACTGGAGAGGTTGCCTTGTTGGCCAGAAAGAAACCCAACACCGTCCTGACTATACCACATGTGCGGCTCTTCAACTGGCATAAAAACCTCCCCAAACCATTGCAGAGCAAAATGGTTTATACACGTTCAGAAGATAGAAAACTAAAATAAAAGCTAAATTTGAATGTGTTGGGCATGTCCAGCTCCTTTTCACCTTATGTAGACAAACAGATATCAACCTCAGCTGGAAAACCAGGAACTTAAAATTTCCTCTTAGTTACAGCAGTAAGGCTCTCTCGCACAAGCTACACATTGCAACATCCACAAGGGTCACAAGATGGCAGGATTACACTGCCATTGAAAACACCCATACAATGAAACGGTCAGTGAATTCCCTGTGCCTTGGGGAATTCACAGGTGGCATCACAATGATCCCCCAAAGCCTTTACGTAGGTTCCTGCAGGGTAAGTCAACTGGAAAGCCAGATCGTCTCCTCCCCTCTCCCTGCTGTAATTTACTGTCAAGGTTTCCCCTTTTTCACTCATCCACTCCTTGATGTCCAGCATGGCACAGACACTTGGGCAGCAATGTACCTTAGTTGTGCCTAACAGCATGCTTGTCTTCAGTCTGGGGGGAGAAAGCACAACACAGAGCATCTACCCTCAAAAGCTGCTGATTTCTGACATCCCCTATATTTCACATCGTTGTCTGTAGTTAGTGGGTACAAGCTAATTTTACAGTACTTAGCCCAGGTGGTTCTGCTCTAAGGATTCCATATAGACTGCAGAAATCCATCCAGGGCTCAGTACAGCCATGCATTCCAGAAGCCCACACTGAACCTCACTATGTGTAGCACTGAAGAGGAATCATAGAATCACAGAGTGGTTTGGGTTGGAAAGGACCCAAACCCCCTGCCACGGGCAGGGATGCCTTCCACTACATCAGGCTGCTCCAAGCCCCATTCAATCTGACCTTAATTACACCAGCTTCTAAATTAGGTTCCAGTGCCAGAGATAGGTCATTGGAAGATCCCAGAATGATCAGAGGCTTCCCTCCTGAAGGCCAGGTTTGATTCTCACGGTGCTGACCACTTTCCCTTTTTCCGGAGGAAGGCAAGTGACTCTCAGGCACAGTTGAGTGATGTCAGCTTTGAAGAAACCACAAAAGCTGTTATATTAACAGCTACTTAAGTTGTCAGTGGTGTTCCCTTTTAAACAGCATTGAAGTACACGTGCTAAAAGAGCTGGCTCTGAAGACAGTGAAGGATGTCATAGGATCCCAGACTGGTTTGGGTTGGAAAAGACCTTAAAGCTCATGCTGTTCCAACCCCTGCCACAGGCAGGGCCACCTTCCACTCCCACAGAATGGTTACAAACCTTTCATCATCCCTGGTAGCTCAAGAACTTTTACATTTTGATTCCTCATGGGACAACTCAAAGACAAGCTTAAGGTAAGTGCTGGACAACTCCTAATAAAACAAGGGCTAAGCGCCACCAACTGTCCCACACACAATTACATGGAAACATACCTTTAAAAACATGAAATACACCTTTTAAACTTCACGTGCACATAGGTGAACATCATTTTCTAACTTTGCTTGATCACTTAATCACTAGGAACTTTGTGATGTTTTCCAGGGATATTTTGTTTTCTCTTTTGAAGACTGAAGGAAAAGAACACTGTTATCCACATTTCATTGAGAGAGAAGCTTCTTTTAACCTACAGTCCATGTACGAAGATAAAGCTGAAGTTTAAATCAGAACCTGAAAAAAACCCATAAACTCTGGGATTTGAGCTGACAATTCAGCCATGATCTGGTTCAAACACTGTAGTAACTGCACACTTACAAAATAAAGCTATCTTCCCTCCTGAATGGAAACTTCAGTACAGTGTTTTACAAGCTCACCGTTCTGAGCCAATAGCTTTCATTTCCTTTGATGTAAAGAAGACCTCTTTCTCTGAAATTCTCCAGGGCTTCAGTGATTCACACTTTGGGTTTTTCCCTCTGAATTGGAGCTTTAAGAAGTCAGGAAATTGGTTGCTTTTCCCATCAAAAAGCAGCCCTGAAGTCAGGTAGTTGAGGTAAGCAGGAAGTGGAATCAGTCTGCAAGATAGGCACACAGAAACCCTAAAGGCCCCTGTGCAAGTTTCCAATGAATAATATGGCTCTGATCATCTTGTTTCAGTATTAACTGTCAGCAGTGTCAGCTATTCAACACCCACAGCCCAGGAAGCCTTGTACACCTCACCAAGCCTTGCTGCCTGCTGCCAGAGGCACAGACAGACACTCAAATCTTTCTCTCCCCAAATAGTTTGGGGTTTTTTCTTTGCCCTCCAAATGTTGCTGCTTCTCTGCCATTGTCAGGAACTGAATTGGGAAAGTAAAATTAAGTGTACTCAAGAACACTGGGACAAGCTAATGAATAACCTCCTGCCTTTCCTAGTTGTTTCATTACATCACAGAGGCACTCCATTCCGTTTTCCAAGTTTATTTTACCTTTACAAAAGGTCACAATCAGAAATCTTGCTGAAAACATTAGAAAAACCCCAGGAAGAGTCAATACAGAGCCAAGAATAAATATGGCCAACATAGGAGCAGTAAGAAGTGTCTTTCCTAACCAGGGTTTAGACTTCAGAGTATATTAAATCCCACAGCGAACTGCTTGCAAAGCAGAGACAGTCTCACACTTTAAAGAAGTTATCCTATTAATCCAATCCAATGCTTTCACCTTTCCTTGGCTGAATCTCCAGTTCACCTCAATTAAGAAAACGCACATTTCCTGAAGCAACAGAGGAAAACTCTTCTTTTAAGTGAATTTCACAGAGATACCTATGGGAAAAATTATCAGTAACACCAGAAAGAACATTAAGAGGATCAAAGAAGGCAAAATACATCGAAAGGACTAATTATGTCTCACACTGTCTCTGCTCTCGTTCTACATGAAGGCAAAGTGAAGGTATAGAGATGCCAGATGCAGAAAACAATCACAGACAAGCTGGAAGAGTCAAACTAGAACTACAGAGGAATACATTCTAGTGAACAAGGATAACCCTTTGCACTGCGTTTTCCCTGTTATTTCTCCCCGTTGCAAGACCCTCTGATGCACAGGAAAAAAAGCAAAGACAGGATAACTCCTCTTGACATAATCACTGAAGAAATGTTCAGCAATAAAACCATGCCCATGAATCATACGATTAATCCTGCAACTCTATTCGAGCTTGCCAAGACTTCCTCTAGAGAAGGCTTCAAGAAAGACCAAGTGGAAAGAGCTCTGAGAGAGACTAAGAGGTCTAGAAACCACAAGTAGGTGGTTTCCTTCGTAAAGTAGGATGAGAGCCTAGAGAAGCCGAGAAGAGATGATTATAAATACTTAAAAAGATGCTGAAGAGTCAATTCTTCTTCATAATAGCTAATATACACTTTAACTAACAGAACTGTCTGTCTCTGACTTGAAATCAGTTACTGAACTGGATTGCCTAGAGAGGTCATGAAGTCACATCATTATCCAGTCTTCAGTAAGCACAGAAGCTAGTGATTACCTTACCAAGGTAATAACCTGTCCCACTTCTTAGGATTCTCTCTTCAAGTGCTTTTGCATCACACAGCTATGGAGGCAATAACTCCTGCTCCACAGCTGCTGTAATTTCACAGAGCCCTACTGAAACCAGCATGTCATTCAGACATGGAATAATCCCCTTGGAGTACTTAGTAAGGTGATTAACAGAAATGTCACTACTCTGTTAGGATTTCATTTCAAAGCCCTGTGCTATTTCTGTTATCTGTAAGGCAATGTGAGGAAGCTGATGCGATGGCTGTACTGTGAGATATTTATACCATTCCATGTGAATGGTGACTCGAAACTCATTTGTGCCCAGAGCCGATTTGGTCATAAGAGTAGACTCCAAGAAGCTTTCAAAGGCCAAACCAATAAGGCATCCAGGGTTTTGAATCTGTTATTGCAGCCACAAAACACATGTGGCTGCAATAACAGTGAGTTTTAACTAGCTGAGCTTTAACTAGTTGAAGCCACAGGCTAGATTCTTATTTGAAATCAGTACCAATTCACTGCAAGCAAGTCCAGCTGAAAGCCTGCCCCTTTAAATTCAGGCAACACAATTCATTACAGCCATGTTAGCGCTCTGTGAAGCTGGAGGAGCACTAATCTGACATTTAAAAACCCTCCAATTTTCTGTAAGGGGAACATATTCCATCTTCCAGTGATCAAGTCACTGGAGCTATGCTGGCATACATCAGCAGATGTTCTGGTTCTTTTTCTTCTGGGATACTTTTTGTGTATCAGGAATAAATGTTGCTCTATTCTCTGTTTCCCACTGTCTTTTCCTAGTGTATAAACTAGGTGAGAAGAGAGCATTAAACCACATGTCTTTCTCTAGACAGTGTGATCCTCATTTGAGTCTCCCTTTTGTAATTCAGTATTCTAGGTACCAAGGGTTGCTGAGTTGAAAAGGAGGATAGATGTCACTCCTTTCTCCCCTGGTTTCCCTGGGCAGAATGAGGGGATCACAGAACTTGCATAGAAAAATCCCTGTAAGCACAAACAATGTGGCTATAACAGTCTCACTCTGCACTGAGCCTGGTTTAACCAACACCTTCTGTTAGCATGAAAAGGACTAAATGGATAGAATAATGAATAATGTCTCTTTCTTCCATAACAAAGAGGGCAATTTCACACAAATAAAAAGCAGAAGAGTAGTAGATATGCTTGCTAGGAACACCACCTTATTCCCTTAGTATGAGCACCAGGACACATCCTGGAAATACAGACAGCCTGTGAAAGTTGTAGGTACCACTGTACTTCCCATGGGACTGGAGGTGGGACACCGGCCTTCTACATGTGTATCAATCTGTGGGAGCACCACAGAGACATGTGCAGGAGATGTAAAAGGGAGTAACAACAGGAAAGGTGCCTGGCCCCAAAGGAAGTTGAATCCAACAACCCAGGAGATTTGCACTAATGGAATGCTGTTGAACTGAATGTCAGCCTGAGCAGGTTTCTTTTGCTTCTAAACACTAGGTTTGTTGAGAGG